TGTCGTCGTGGCCAGGGTTAGGATGAATGTCTCCACAAGATAGTATACGAAGCTCCAGTTGAAAACTAGCGTCGTGGTTACTGTAGAACTTAATCTTCCAGTACCAGCTACTTCTTCCAGTAGCGTGCCAAGACGTAGAATTTTCCCACCATGTTTTCAGGCGATATTCCTAGTAGAGTAGCGTAGGTCTCTTTGGTACTTGCTTTCTTGTCCCTTAAAGTTGGTTGGAAGGTGAATGGCCCCGCATCACGATTCTCGTCCTCGAATTTCCAAATGGAGAAAAACGTTTTGATCAAATCTTTGTCATCTGGATGGTACGTCAGCTGTACGAAGTCGCTAAAATACGGATTGTTTGTTTGGACGGTTTCATGCTGGATGTTTTTGAACAGCTTGGTCTTCTTCACTGGATAAAATACTGAACCGAAATCTCCCTGAACCGGGAGGACGGGCTTCAGGCCATGAAGGATATTGAACGGACGGCCAAGCTGATTGGCTGCGTCAAAGAAGTGAAATACATAACAGTTAATTAATGTCGCTATTGATTGAATGATAACCGTTCAATAATTTAATGTAAATATTACTGTACGTGGCTAAATGAATTACTATTTGCACATGTGCAGTTCATAAAGCTTGGTTGTCGAGCACACGATTGAAAGACGTTTGCGCATGCTCATAGTCCGTATGCCAAAAACATCATCGTGCTATTGTAAAAATATGTAAATTCGTGTTTCAAACTTGCTTGACAAATGGATCTTGCAAAAAGCCCAAACTATAGTTCTTCCTTATTCTCAATTTTTTTTATTTTTATTTTTTTTTATTGTAATTTAAAGAAAACAGACATTCATTTTCTCACTGGATCCTTGAAAAACGAAAACAGAATGAAATCTTTATTCTATTCTTAGAAAATGTTTAATTTTATTATGGGTTAGAATATAGATATGCAAAGCTTGATCACAATGAGATGGTCTTGAAGTTTTTACCTTGAAACGCTTGGACGATCCCCAGAAAACTGAAGAAGAATAGTGCATAATCCATGGCTTCAGCGAAGTCACGCGAGCTGTTAAATAGAAAAACAAAAGCTGTTACCTTTGTAAGCAACAAGACATAAGACACTGTACAGCTATTTCTGATGATGGTCCTTATCCTCAAGGGCCACACAGCACCGTAAAAATAGGGCGGTATGTGGTAGGGCGTAAACATATATTTAAATGCTTTTATTTAATGAATATTAATATTAAAAATATTTAAAAATATTGTTACGTGTCAGCACCCTCTGCCAACACGCAAGCTCGATGGGTTTAGAATAAAATAATTTTCGTAACGTAGCGACTTAAACCTACTTCTAAAATACACCAGTTTTTGGCATTCGATGCATACCGCTATTTTTGAAGACCAGACTCGTTTGTACAGGCTTAGCCTCGTTTATAAGTCAGCTATTCACAGATACCATTAAGAGTCCGTGGAATTTCAAAACATTGGTATTGTTCAAGCTGCACACCTTTGCAAATGAATTTCTCTTAAGAACGTTCATGGGCAAAAGATCCCATTGTCAGATTTTTAAAAAAATAAGCAGGATGAAAGAACATCATACTAGAAGTAAAATAAGCAAATAAAATATGGGGATCCCCAACTTCTTTTAGCCGTCAGAATACGTGGAAGTTCATCCTTCTTAGGATAAAAACGCGAGAAAAACGTAAACATGGAAAGCTGTCAAAAATAATCCGTATTTTACTGAAAAAATTAATTGGTCGCCCCCATTTTTCCATTCACAGAAGACTAGAAAATAACCAAATAACAAGTTTGTATTTAAAATTTGTGTTAGAAATATAAAATGCTATTGTCCTGAAAGTTTGGACTTGAAGCCTTCGCGTTAGGTGAAATTATATTCCAATTATACACAAAATATGTAATTTCGATTTGATCCCATTGTAAGATGTTTTTAATTTTTCCTCTAAAGTTAGGTATTGCCGAATACTTTCAAAAAAATAATAAAAAATGGGGTGCCCGACTTTCGTTTTAGAGCTAAAAGCGATTACAGACGTATTTGTGAGATTTTGCTTACCAAAACATTGGAATGACGTCATCCCGATGACGAAGGATTATTTGTGAGATATATTAATCATCATTAGTTAACAATGATATTACTAAGTAATACTATGTTATTTGAAAAAGCAACATATTTAGGAAACCGCAAATCGGAAGATACTAGAGCCAAACTTCTAAATTCGTAGTATCTTATTCTTAATAAATAGACATCAGTTTTTTATGTGTCTGTCCTCTTATTGACGATAAATTGCGTCATCACATTGTCAAAGTAGTGTGGATCCACAAGTTTTATGACATTTGTGATATGCATCAGTGAAAACTACGATTGTTATATCGATATCATTAAAAGTAGAGGTTTTCAGCAAGAACATACTTCAGTTTCTAGTTCTGTTTCTCAGGGTTAGCCCTTTTTCTGTTTCCAATCAAGGTTGAAGTTGTGCATTCTTAACTTTACCGTTAAGTATTTGTGAATAATTATTAAGACACTGATACGAGGCTAAGCCTGAGTAAATGAGTCTGTAATCAAGGAACACAGCTGTAATTTAGACCCTGAACGAGGGCTATTGCGGGTGACTTTACTGATGGGCGACTTTTAAAATATTTCGATAAAAAGGATTCTATTAAACCTTATAGAATGACTAAAAATCCTTCGACTCGGGACTGAATTTGTTTGGAAAAGTGAACAGAGATTATTGTCGTTGAGAGGAGATCTGAAAAATCTTGATAAGTTTTTAAAACTAATTTTGAATTGTTTTCAAAATGTTTTGGTATAGGTGGTATGATTCATACTTTAACTTCACCTTACCTCAGAAGTACTTGAGCCTTGCCAAGAACAACTCAGCGCAGAAGGCAGTTGGGTTGTTTACCTTTGGGAAAAAAAGTCTTATTTAACTTGCTAATAGTTAATGGCTACTAGGCGATGCTAATGAAGAAATAGAAAACGCGCGCGCGTGCTGTGTGCAGTCATAAAGCACGCGGGGGTTGGCAGAACACGAGAGAAGTGTTAGGAGAAGCACGACGCGTAGAGAAGTGCTTCTGGACAATTTTCGAATGTTCTGCCAATCCCCAAGTGCTTTATAAAAGCACACAGCAAGCAAGTTTTTTATTTCTTTTATATAAATACAAATTACAATAATAGATAGGAATGACGCAACGGAAAGTGCGCGCGCATGCAATGTGCTCTCATAAAGCACGCGCTTCAAGCCAATCAGAACGCGACATTTATAACAGTTATTTTATAAAGTGGGAGAATAATTAATCTCGAAAGAAAGTGAACGAATTAAAAAAAGTGCTAGCTAACGTGTAATAGTCAAATAGACACACACAAAAACAATGGAATTAGGATCTGTGTACTGTGTAATGTGTACACCTTCGGTTTCCGAACTATATTCGGAAATTCTCAAGTTGGCGACCAGTTTCGGAACTTGGAAACGAAGTTCGTTATGAACTTCACGCCGAAGTTCAGAATTTGGTTGGCTTATTTTGCAGTAACCAGAAGCTTTTGGATTTCCTTTATGATATACATTTGGCAACTTACATACTAAAACAGGTTTCAAACATTGGCGGGAAGTTCAAAAGCTCATTCGAAGTCCCAAAAAAGTTGATCGCCAACTTGGGAATTTCCGAACATAGTTTAGAACCCGAAGGTGTGAGGTAATGTGAACCCGACTGTAATGACTTCACACTAGATCTATTTTCTCTCGATGGAAAGAGGCGTGGTATTTGGATGTTACACTCGGCATTGTTTCTTACACTGTCGTTCTATATTCAGTTGGAATATTGTTACGCAATGAACAAGTACAGTTGCATTTGGATTATATGCTTATGCAATCGTCGGTTGAAACGAATTTACATACGATCGAATATCACTTGCTTTAAAGTATACGAGGAATTTTTTGCAAAAGATTCAGAATAGCGACATTTTTCTATGATAATTATAAGGCTTTAATAAGAAACCGGTTCACACTAGTTTTATCAGTGAGTTGGAAGCATTTTCAAAATGGTTATTATATAACAAAACAAACTAAATCCACAATGTTCCTGATTAATTAAAACGTAAGGAAACGTACGGTAGTTTCCTCTTACACGAGATATATTAGCAGCCACCAGAAATAATTTAGGCTAATAATTTAGGCAAAGATTTAGCTACTGAAGTCGTTTATCTTCAAAAGAATACAAGCGTAAACTGGCACGTTAGAATGTATAGGGTGTGCCAAGTTTTCGTAGAACTTTAGAATATGACGAATATTAGGTTACAAATGCGACTATTTCGCGGAATATTTTAGATCTTCTGGGTTTTGATAAGAACTTAAACGATTTAAAAGTTTTATCGATCGGTTAACCAGTGAGTAAAAGTAGGCAATAACTCCAAGGGAATAAAAGGAAAATCAACAGTGTCGTAAAGCTCGCATGAAATAGTAAAATACACGAGAAAGGACAAAGAAAAGGAAAGGAAATCTTGACTTACTTGCAAGAGCGTTTATCCTTTGAACAGCAGCAGCAGCAAATGTCGTCTCTTAGAAAGAAAAGAGAAAATTAACATTAAAACGAGCTCAAATACCTGTAGAAAAGACAAAAAAAGGCAAAAACCTATACTTACAAGAGCGACGTGTCTTCTGCCGCGGACCTGTGGTGTTTGTAGTGAAGAAACTTCAGTCCTTATATACTTTGCATGCAAATGAACTTCACGTTTAAAACAATACCTCGCATGCCTTGCACATGAAAGCTCTCATTGTTTTTGGTGTTGCAGTCTTACTGGAATAAAGTAAAACAAGAAGTAGTTTTTCTCGTGAGAATGAGAGCTCTCAATTAAGATTTATCAGATTGACGAAGTTATTGAAAGCATCCAGCAATATAGCTATCAGTACAACATCAAGATCGTTGGCGTCCCTCAAACAGAGATACGAGAATCTTCCCGTTCCACTGCAGATCTGTGCTTAAAGATTTTTCACAGTATGGGTGCAAGTGATGTCACTTTACAAGACATCGACACTGCTCATASAGTTCCTAAGAGGAAGCCTAGTCGCCCYGGACAAAATTATCCTGATCCTATTATTTGCAAGTTTACTCGCCGTTTAGCGAAGGAAGAAGTAATGGCTGCCAAAAAGGCGTTACGTAATTTGACCCCAAGTGACCTTGGTCTTCCTCCTTTCATGACCTTGAAACACGTTAGTATTTACCATCACTTAACCCCRAGGCTGCAAAGTCTGTTATACGAAACAAAGCGTTTTAAAAGTGCAAATGATTACAAGTTTTGTTGGTCAAAAAGCACGGCTGTTTTTCTTCGAAAAGATGACTCATCGACTGTTATAAAGTTGACCAAGTACGAAGATCTGGATAAGTTAAAGCAAGGCGAAGATGCACAAGTGTATGCTGAAGACTATGACCAAGATGACTAAACAACTTATAGTGTTTTTTTCCAGCCAGCTAAGTACTTTTCACTTCAAGTTTATGATATTTAATTTCAAATTTTTGCCATGAAAAAAGATAAAAATTTTATAAAAATAACAAAATCTCTGCTTAGAGAATTACCTTATTTTGGAATTGATATCATAAGTTGTCACGGTCAGTTTAATAATAGCTTGAAATCGTCATTACCAAGCAAGAAATATCTCGAAACACTTTCTAGTTTTTATGATCTAGATCTTTTCAGTCTAAATACTGCGTCAGATCTTAGGGTCGACCCTGACAATAACCTTACTAATCATTGTATTAGAAGTAACTATTATTCTGCTAAAAGTTTTGTAGATTTAAAAAATATTTATTCTAAAAAGGAATTGCAATCTAGTTTTTCAATATTACATAATAATGTCAGGAGCTTGAAACGCAATTTTGATAATTTCCAAACTCATTTACTTGATGARCTTGATTTTCATTTCGATGTTATTGGAGTAACAGAAACTAAAATTTCCAATGCAAATTTACTTGGGTTTAATCCTAATATTACAGGTTACGAATTTGAATACGTTCCAACGCCCCTAGCCTCAGGAGGTGTTGGGATGTACATCAACAACMAATTGAATTATACCGTAATTGAAAAAAATAGTAATGAAGCTTTTCAAGCACTTTGGATTGAAATACAATTTGTAGATAAGAAAAATATAATTTGTGGTGTAATATATAGACAACATAATTCTCCTGAGCTATTTCAATCTTATTTTGACAAAATGTCTGAAAGGTTCATATCTTCCGGTAAACCTGTCTACATATTGGGAGATTTCAACATAGATCTTCTTAAATCAGAATTTTCTACCTTTAGCAATAATTTCTTACTATCTTTACAAAGTTATTATTTATTTCCTACTATTGACAAACCAACTCGAGTCACTTCTAGATCGGCCACCTTGATTGATAACATTCTTACTAACAATCCTAAAGTAACGGTTAGTGGCAACATAATATCTGATATAAGTGATCATTTTGCACAA